CAGGCGTGAGCCACCGCGCCCGGCCTGGAAGAGTTTCTTAAACATGATGCCAAAGTCCTGTGCCTAGAGAGTCTGTTCTATTTGATGCACAGTGGAGAGTTTGTTAAACTCTTTTCCCAACTGATTCCAATGCACAGCCAGAGTTGAGAAACCCTGCCCTAAGCCCCTAGGATCCGCACAGCTGCGCAGCCTCTGCAGCTTCAAAATAAGAAATTCTGGGGTGAAACTGCTTCTGTACAGGGGCCCCAGTGGTCTTTGCTTTGTGGCTAAGTGGGCCTGATCAGCAGGTCCACCACCCCAAATTAACCCTTACAGTTGAAAGTGTGGAATTTACAAGGGCTGTTATCTGGACTGGGAGGCTGAGTCAGCCATGAAATTTCCACTCGACTTGTGCCTGAATTGACTAATGCATATTTTCCCTCCTAAATAGGCAGAACATCCTGTATGTCTCTCTTTTGCTGTCATTCAAAAGCATATCAAGGAAGGTGACAAGAATCCATCCTGTTCTCCCAGCCCAGAGCACTCACCAAGGTCTGCCCAGTTCATTTATGCCCTCTTCTTCTCTTCTACCTAGAACCACAGCCCGGATGAGTTTCACAGCCCCCTAACTCCCTCTGCTGCTTGCCCCACGCAATCACTTCCTGTGGATGCCAACAGGCATCCTTCTAGACTCTTCTTTCCCTGCCCATGTCATTCCCCTGTGTAAAATTCTTCAATAGCTCCTGAGTGCCTGACTTATAACTCAACACTGTCAATAAGTATAATGATGATGAAACTAATTTTAATAGTTATACATCTTTTTGAGTTCTTTTTATGTGCCAGGCATGATGCTAAGCATGTTATCTACACAATCTCACTTTCTAAAGATTTAACTATGAAAATTTTCAAACATACAAAAAAGGAGAAAAAAGCAGTACAGGCCTCCACTCTCTTCTCAGTAATTCTAAAATCCAAAAAGCTCTTAAATCCAGAAGTTTTTCACGCATTTGATGCTAAAACTCATTGGATAGCAAAACTTGACCCTTAAAAGCATAGAATTATTTGCATCTTTTTTGAAATCATTTAGTGTAAATATTTAAATGTATCATGGCAGACATATTAATATACAGGATAGCTTCCAGGCTCCTATCAAGGGTGTAATGTGATATACAGCACACGCACCTGAATGTCTTTCTAAAATCTGAAAATATCTGAGTGCAAAAACACATTTCATCCCCAGAATTTTTAGATAAAGAACTGTGTACCTGCACAACGAGCACCTGCACACCTACAACTTAGATTTAGAAACTGTTAGCATTTTAGCAGCTTTGCTTCCCCATCAAATAGATATAAATAGATAATAGAGATAGATGTACTGCAAGAAAATATATATACATATATATATATTCACATCAAATCCCTGGAACATGTGAATGGAACCTTATTTGGAAAAGAGATCTTTGCAGATTTCACAGAGCTAAGAATCTTAAGGTGAGGTCATCCTGGATAAGCCAGGTGGATTCTAAATGCAACAATAAAAGTCCCCATAAGAGACGCAGAGGAGAGACACAGACAGAGGAGGAGGTGGCCGTTTGAAGGCAGAGGCAGACGTTCGAGTGATGTGGCCACAAGCCAAGAAGACGAGGAACACCGACAGCCGTCAGAAGTGGAAGAGGCGTGGAAGGACCCAGCCCCAGCACCTGCAGAGAGAACGCAGCCCGCTGACACCTGCGTGTCAGACTTCTGGCCTCCAGCACTGGGAGAGAACCCATCTCTGCTGGGTTAAGCCGCCCAGTTTACAGTAATTTGTCGCAGGAGCCACAGGAAACAAGTACAGATTTAAACACAGACGTGGGTATAGATGTAAACATGAACACTGCTATGTAAACATAGATAAGCATAGATGGAACCGGTTAAAAGTGCTTACGGCCCTCAGGACGCTTCACTCCTAAATCCTTTCGTGCGTGCATCTCATTTAACCCTCCCAGAATCCTGCGCCATACATTCTTGTGCCCGTTACAAGGGTCAGGAAATCGAGGCACATGGAAAGCACCTCTAGTTCCATCCCTCGCCACTGCCGGAGTCAGATTCAGAGCAAGGGACTGCCCCTGACCTGCCACAGAATGTGCCCGAGAACGTTCCACAAGGAGGATTTGGGAGAGGTCCAAAACCCCAGCAGGAGGAAGGGGCCTCGGGCAGGCAGGAATCCTGCCACTTAGAAAGGATTCCCAGCCTTTTGGGCAGGAGGCATTTAGTAAACAGGAGACTTGGCTTCCCAGCCATGCTGGAGCCCACAGGGAGAGCAGCGCTGACCATGGGGACCGAGCCTGCTCTGCGTGCTGGTGCCTCGCCCTTCCCTCCTCTGTTTTCAGCGGAGTCGGCCGGGGCCAGTATATCCATGGCAGTGCAGAGAGATGACACAGGCAATTCCTGCCGCTGGGTCAGCTGCCCTGAGGTGGGGACTGGCTGGGGAAATAACGAGCTTGCAATTGGAAAGGAATTAGACCGTCAGATGGCAGAGGCGGGATTGCCACACAGCCAGCCACCGGAGTCCTTGCCGTAACTCGGGGAAAGCACGGTATTTTCCCCGGGGAAGAGGGCATCCGAAGAGCAAACCAAATCAGGATGCTCATTTAGAGGGAGAATTTACGGCTCTATTAGCAAAATGCCCCACAAGGCAGACTCGGGGACCTGGGGGGAGAGGACACACCGTCTGTCTTTCAGTATGCAAAGGGAGGCTCCCTTGGTGAGAAGATCCTTCTGGAACTTTCAAGGGGTGAACTGGGAGCAGCAAGGAGAAGGAAGATTCTCCCCAGTCACACATGCTCCTCCTCCCCAATTTAACCAGAGCAATGCAATGGTTTATGTGAGCAAGTCTGAATAATCTCATTTAATGAAAGAAGTCCTGCAGCAAAAAAAAAAATTTGGAAGAGCCTGTAGAACAGCTTTCAGTTAAGCCACTGCATTCAGCAACAAGATCCATTCGATGGTGAGGACAAATGAACACTTACCACGGAGCAGGCGCCGTGCCGGGAACTGGCGATAAAGTACGAGCCAAACAAGCGTGGTCCTCAGCCTCTTGCAGTTTACCACATCCTAGGACAGACAGACATTAAAAAGAATGAATATGCGATTATATTAAAATGTAATAAAATAAAGATGTAATTTAAAACAAGCATATTTGGTTATAACAAATAATAGGGAGGGGCATGGGGTGGCCAGAGGCGGCTTCTCAGAAGAGTCGTCTACATCGAAACCCAAAGTTGAGTGAGAATCAGCTGGAGAAAGGAAATTGATTTGTGAGGAGGCCTGGATATTTCTGAAAATATTACAACTTTCCCCGAACAACCCCTCCACGTGCGGAAGGAGAAAGATAGCCCTTAGGACACAAGCATCCACATTATTTGGTTATTTTTCTCAACTTTTCTACTAAATGGGCTGATTTCCCATATACCGCAGCGCCAACATCCTGGATGGCATCAAATGCAGCGGCGGACTCAGAGGCAATGGGCACAGAGAAGCTTCCGGAAACCTGGGGCTGCACAAGCATGTGCGCTGTTGTTCAACAGCATTTGCTATTTACTTATCACAGCCCAGGAGCCAGGCTAGTGCCAGAGTAGCGGGATGAGGGGGAGGAGAGCCCAGCTCGTACGTGGCTTAGAACAAAGTAAGGTAGACAGGTAGCCTGGTCGTGTGAGGGACTGTGAGGGACGCCGGTGAAGGGCTGCAAGGCGTGGACACCGTGTAGCTGGTGCCTGAGAGCGTGGACTGTGTGTCAGGCTACCTGGGTCTGAAGCCTCGCTCTGCCACTTCTGAGCTGTTTCACCCTGGGTGAATGGCTTAGCCTCTCTGTGCTTATGTTTCCTCTCTTCTAAAATACACCCCCATTGGGTTATGATGAGGCTTGAATTATTATTAACATTTGCAAAGTCTAATACAGAGTAAGAGCCATAGAATGGTTTGATAGATTGTAGCAAAAGGAATATAAATTCTTTTTATTTTTTTTAATTTAAAAGTAGAAAGCACAAATAATTATATATAAACACATATTTACCAAAATTGAGTAAAGTTAAAATTTGATCAGGTTTGTGTAAGAATGCGTGTGTTGTGGGTGGGGTAAAGCTACCCAATCTCTATGTTCCCTTCCCCAGCACTCCTCTTCCGCCCATTAACATGAACTTGATATGGACTCTTACAGTTACTGTTTTTATAATTACCTGTATGTACCTATAAACTATATTTAGTATGTTTGGTATATTTAGTATGTATAACAATAGAATCGTGTCCTGCATGTCATTTTGGAACTTGCTTTCTTCACCCAACATTATGTGTCAAGATCTATCCTTGCCAATGCACATGCACATCCAGTCCATTTTAGCAGCGTAGAGTCTGCAATAATGTATTTATCCACCCCCCCCCTCATAATGCATACTCAGGTTGTTCCCAGTTTTTCACATTTGCAAACACCACTGTAATAACTGCCTTTGAACACACCCCTCATGGACATGTCCAAGGGCTTCTGAACTCATACTTGGACCTGCACCTGCGAGTGCCATGGGCAGGCCAAGGGGTCAGTTGCTTCTTCACCCCATTGTGCCAAATTGCTCCCTGCAATGGTCACACCAATGTCCATTCCCACCAGCATTGTATTAAAGCATTAAATCTGGATCCTTTCAGCCTGCAGTAACAAAAATATCATAAACTGGGTGGCTTACGGACACCAAATATTTATTTCCCACAGTTGTGGAGGCGGAGAAAGAAGTCTATGATCAAGACACCAGCCTCAGTGTCCGGTGGGGGCCCATTCGTCTTAGGCAGCACCTTCTTGCTGCAGCCTCATTTGATGAGGGGAACACAGCCTCCCAGGGGTCTTTTTACAAAAGCACTAATTTCATTCACAAGGGCTCCACCTTCATGATCTAGTCACCTCCCAAAGGCCCTACCTGCTAATACCATTATCTTGGGGGGTAAGGATTTTGACACATGAATTTTAGGGGGACACAAACATTCAGATCATAGCACCAAGTTTTGGCAATTGTAAACGAAGCTGCTATAAACATTTGGGTGCAGGCTTTTGTGTAGACATAACTTTTCAACTCATGTGGGTAAATACCAAGGAGTGAGAGTGCTGAATCATATGGTAAGAGTATGTTTACTTTTGCAAGTGCCAAACTGCCTTATACAGTGGCTGTACCATTTTGCATTCCCACCAGTGATAAACGAGAGTTCCTGTTGCTCCACATCCCCTTCTGTGTTTGGTGTTGTCAGTGTTTTGGATTTTGGCCATCTAATAATAGGTGTGTGGTGGCATCTCATTGTTATTTTAACTTGCAGTTCCCTAATGACATATGGTGGTTAGCATCTTTTAATATGCTTATCTGCCATCTGCTTACATTCTTTGGTGAGGTGTTTGTTAGGTCTTTTGCCCAGTTTAAAATTGGGTTCTTTTTTTTTTTCTTTGTTATAGTTGAGTTTTAAGAGTTCTTTGTATATATTTTGGATGCCAGACATTTATCAGATGTGTGTTTTGCAATTATCATCTCCAGGTCTGTGGTTTGTTGGATATTCTTTTAAGGTTGAAGCTAAATTTACAAAAAGTGAGCCAATTTAGGGAAAAATATATTATGAAAATATATCCTTGTAAAAAAGTGAGTGCAGTGAGTAAAAAAGTTGTAGTTGAATATAGCACAAATCTTGAAGGCAGTGAACAAATAAATAAAATTCAGGCTAAAGTTTTCTCTCTCTCTCACACACACACACACACACACACACGCACACCATACACACACCTTATACACAAAGAATATGTTCAATCCACCTCACAGGAATGTTCTCGTCTCAGTAGGTAACATTTCAGACACCGGTTTATAACACAGGTTGATTATTATTCCTGCAGCATGCATATCTGGGGAGCTCATTATTCCAAGTCTAAGAGAAACAGTTTTTTACCAAGGAGCACATACAACACACACACACACACACACACACACATACACACACACACACACACACACACACCAGGACTCAAGTTTTAAACCAGCTAAAGGCTGAAAGAAAGGAAATTGATAGCTTCATTTAAAAATGCAATGCCTTAGATGAACTGAACTCTCCCTCATACATAAATCGCCTTTCTCAGGACTCTGAACTCCTGGATATTCATACCATCTTTCCCCTTGCTAATTCAGAGGCAAGAAAGGCACATTCCCCTGACATCTTGCAGAAATCCTTAAAGCTTCCGAATCACAGCAGAACACGTGGCATGGGCTAAAGCCAGAGGTAGAAAGAAGATGGGTGTGTTCAACGGTCTGAGAGAAGGAGGGTGCCCAGACTGTCTCAGGGGTTAGTGGGAAGTGGGATGAGGTCAGAGAGGTGGGTAGGGGCCAGTCACAAGAGGCTGTGGATGCCACCTTAAGGATTTTGAAAGCAACGAGATGGTCATCGAAGGGGTAGTGCTGGAGGAGGGTGGTGACATGATGACATTTGACTTTTAGATTAAAAACAGAAGCAGTCCCCCCCTCACCATATATTCCTAGGATGGTGATTTCAGTGTTAGAGGATTGGGTTGCTTGAGGTTGCTGTAGTTGTTTGTCAGAGAACTGCAAGTAAGGAAGGTGTTTAATGGACTAGCAAGGAAAAAGTAAGACCCTAGTAACAGAGTGTGGGCTAGTTGAAGACGTCCTGCAAACATAACTGCCACCTCTCTTTCCTGTATGTGGGGTGTATGTGTAGATTCCTGTATTGTCTTGGCCACTTTCTAGTGCTTGCAGAGGAGACATAGCTCCGCCAACACCTTGATCTTGGACTTTGAGCCTCTAGAAATGTGAGATGGTGAATTTCTGGTCTAAGCACCCCAGTTTGTGGCACTCTGTCATGGCAGCCTGACCAGACTAATATAGTGGCAATAAGCCACAGTGCCATTTACAGTATCTAGGACTTTGTCACCAAGAGAAATCAAGAATATTTTCACAATACATTCCAGGTGCTACAGTTATTTCTAAATATGCTCATCAGTACTTCAAAATCACAGTTGTCATGAAACCCACTGCTAATCATGTTACTTAATGTATTAATAAAGGAGCACGTGTGTTACTACACCATCATTTAAGAAAAGATAATTTCATTTCAAATATTGTTTTCTCCATAACCCTATGTATTTCACATATTCATTTAAAAATATATTCTGCGAAGGGTCCATAGGACTAAGGAGTCAGATCTCAAATGGTAAACCCCTGCTTTAAGAGGAAGGGAAACAGTATGATACATCTCTACACCTCACAGCCTTCCCCATCCAGGATGGATTGGACGAGGTTGGTGGGGGATTGTGTTTGATTGAAGATGCCTTTCCAGTTTAGAAATTATTACAGAAACATTCAACATACATAAGTCAATAAATGATTCACCACATAAACAAATAAAAACAAAAATCATATAATCTTCTCAAAATAGATCACAAAACAAATAAATCCAGCACCGTTTCATGATAAAAATCCTTAACAAACTAGGCATAGAATGAATACCTCAGAATAATAAAACCACATATGGCAAGTCCACAGCAACACCATGCTGAATGGGGAAAAGTTGAAAGCATCACTAAGAAACTGAACAAGACAAGAAGCCATTGTCACCATTCCATTCAACATAGTGCTGTAATCTAACCAGAGCAATCAGACAATAGGAGAATATTAAGGGTATCCAAATTGGGAAAAAAGAAGTCAAACTATCACTCTTTGATGATGATATGATCTTATACCTAGAAAACTCCATAGATTCCACCAAGTGTCTCTCGGAATTGATAAATAAATTCAGCAAAATCTCAAGATACAAAATCAATGTACATAAATCATAGCATTTCTATATATTAATAACAGTCAAGCTGAGAGTCAAATCAAATACTCAATAGCATTCACAATAGCTGCAAAGAAAACAAAATACCCAGGAATATACTTAACCAAGGAAGTGAAAGATCTCTACAAGGAGAACTATGAAACTTTGAGGAAAGAAATTGCAGAGGATACAAACAAATGCAAAAAACTCATGCTCATGGATAGTTAGAGTAAACATTGTTAAAATGTCTGTACTGCCCAAAGTTATTTAAA